CCTGCATCGGCAGGCGGACTCTCAAGCACTGCGCCACCAGGGAAGCCCCAAATAACTTTTTAACATAATACTGTAAACGCTTAGGGAAAAAAGAGCTACAAACAAATCCTCAGCTCCGTTTAGGAGGCTGGTTTTTCATAGTGGTAATAGTGGTAGTAATTCTGAAACTACTTCAGGTGTTTTGTAGAATTCAACCAATGAGTAAATGGTTGATGTTACTGGTAGCCAGGGTTCTCAACTGTGGAAGAAGGCGGTATTAATACGGAATGAGGGAATGCAAACAAAAATTTGTGCAGTTCGATTGGAATTGGAGGTATCGGTATAAACTCATGATTATACACACACACACATTTATGTACATGGATGTTTGTTCCCCCCTAGATCTGTCTGCTGAAAGGGCCTAGAAGCAAAGAACACACATTGCGCCTAGCAACGAGCACACATAGTGCTCGGATCTTGGTTTCTAAATACCATCCTCTACTAAATGGAACCAGGGTTCCATGAAGGAATGAGTAATTCCAGGTCTGGGGCAGGGAAGTATAAGATAGGCCAGAAAGTAAGAAAATACTTGTTATTTAAAAAAAAAAAAAAGAGAGACGTGTCAAAATAACAGAAGAGTCAGCATGAAAAGATTGATTCACACTGGACAAATGTGGGATAATTTGAACGTGAAAATAACTGAGGACAGTATATTATAACATATATGAAAAAAAAATGAATGAGTGGAAGGAAGGGAGGGAGGGAGGAAAAGGGTAGGCTCTTCCTAGAGTAGAATGCAAACTGATAAATGTGGAGGGAGTGGAAGAGTTGGGAAAAGCCATTTTGCAACCATTGTAGTAAAGACTGGTGTGGACAAGAATCAAAGGGGATGCTATAGGTGTGGGGGAGTTGGATGAGGAACAGAAAACTTGCACTGTCTCAGAGTGTCTCCCCAAAACCGTTTATTAATTGCAAGGGGAAAAATAATAACTATATGATAGAAAAATCAAAAAACCATACAATGGAGACAACTTGATCAAAATTAACATCTCCAGTGAGGTGCAAATGAACCTCATGTGCCTTCAGATGTGATTTTACCTGAGAAGAAAGAACATAACATACTTCTACAGTGTCCTGGCCAGGAAAGCATAATCTGACGCTAATCTACAGGGAACTTCAGACAAAGCCAATACTGGGACAACTGACAAAACTGGAATGTGGCCTATAGGTGAGAAAAAATTACCATTCCAATGCTAAATTTCCTTACTTTTGATAACTGTACTTTGGTTACGTTAATAAATGCTGTAATATTAAAAAGTAAAGAAGAATAACGCATGCCATCTACTCCCAAATGGCTCAGTAAAAAGAAAAAGATTAAAAAGTATACGAGGCCACATTCACACACACAAATAGAATTATGAAGCACATGTGGCAGAATGTAAAAAATTACTGAATCCGTATAAAGGGCATACTAGAGTTCTTTATAATTATTACAACTTTTCAGCAAATTTGAAATTATTTCAAAATGAAGTTAGCAGGAAAAAGAGGACCACATATGTACAAGTTTCCTACAATATTGGGCGTTTCTCTCCAAAGAACAGTCACATACTCAAAGTTAAAGGCCAATTAAGCCTGAAGAATACCTGTTGACAGATAGTCCTCAGTACATATCTAGCATATTCTCTTAAATTGGCAGTCTCTATGGAAATGCTTTTCCCACAGGATTTTGAATTTTGTGAGGCAGTCCAGATATCATCAGCATTTCCATCACGTCGTAAACCCCTCATGGTGAAGTCGTCATTCTTTAAAGAGCTGACGTTGTTACTGCCAATTTTGGCATCTCCTAAATAACAGAATCACAAAAGCAAAATCATAGACGTTCAAAATATTGCCAAATATTTGGGAAACAAATGAGGCAAGCATTCAGGGATTTAAAATACATGAATGGGATCATCATTGCACAGTCAGTTGTTCAGCAATAGAGAGAAGGCATTGAGAGAGTAAATGCTAGAACCCTGAGAAGTTTCATCAGACATGGGGAAAAAAAGCAACCAAACAAACAAACAAAAAAACATGTTCAAGACTCATTCTTTATTTCATTTACAGAATTAAGTATGCTTTCACCAAACTTGGGAAGGCCATTATGAATCACACATAATAGTCACAGAACACTGATTTCACCAATATTTCAAGCATGAACGTATTCAAATTCATTTGACTTATAGACAAGGAAAAAATGGGTTACTCACCCTTCTAGATGTCCCTTTTCCATTTCTTCTCTTACAATGACTTATTTTCTATCCATAGGTCAAGAGAAAAGTTTTGCCTTAGCCCACCTTACTAGCAACTTCTTGACAAGAGAGATTTATTTCCCTGGGAATGGAAAAGGGCAATGCATACTAAGGAAGCCCTGGAAAACAGGGCATTCATTGAATAACCCATGTCTTTCACTTTCCTCTCTGTAAACATCCAAATTAGAAAACCTCACCTGATCAACCACTAATACACTCAATAAAACGAGGCTCAGGAAAGTGTTTTCCTCATTACAAGGTTCTGGGGCCGGGGAGGGGAACTGAGCAGAACGGTTGAATAGCTGGAAATAAGAAATCTTCTCTAGCCATGAAAGACAGGTAATTGTCATATTTTAAAAGTGAGAAATTAATATAATTTGGTAATAAAGATTGCCAAATGACAACAGAGCCTCCAAACTCTTGCCTGTTTACCCACAGGATCATAAGCGTTGAACAGGAAAAATTCCTGGAACCAACAAATGAGTTTAGATGAGGCCCTCACTGCTTCACTGTAAGTGAAACCAAGGCCGGGTCAGCGCGAAAAGCCTTTTAAAACCCACAGGTCAACCAAGAAAAAGATTTGACTCTGCTGAAAAAATTTCAGAAAATCAGAATCGCTTAGTGAATATTTGCTTATAAAATCATAAGAGGAGGGGAGGAATAAATAATACATTTCAACTCATCAATATCTTATTACGCATTATACATTTCTCATTCAAATACTCATACAAAAAAGCACCAAGTTCACTCCACTCACAGACGTTTATTTAATTCAACAGAGCTCTTCAGGAGCTGAAACAAAGACCAAGTTCTACATGTACCAACATTTAGCATGCTTTTTCCAACCTTAGGTGTATAAACAACTATTTCCACACCTTGAGGTAAACTACTACAGAAATTAGAAACCAGATTCTATAAAACAACCCTACCTCCCTAACTCGAAATAGATCCCAGTGGATAGGACTTGAGAGAACATTGAGAATGACATGGTGAGGTAGATAAAACTGCAAAAATAAAACAAAGAAACAAACACCTCTGCCAGTCCTAGTCTAGGAGATCCTCATTCAGTTTAGATGTTAGGATGACAGAGAAGGTCTGGAAGGCTGTGCCAGAACCTTCTGTAATGGCAGAGACAATAGAACAAACACGGTGTTCAGGGACTGCGTGGTCCAAGGGTCTGCTGACATTCAACTAGCCTGATCCTGACTTCCCAGACCTGAAGAACCCTCCATTGCTTAGGAAGCTGTAAAATCTACCAAGAACTGGGGCCAATTAAAAAGGTCAAGGAAAGGCAGTCAAAGAAAAATAAACAGGTGATTATGCATTGAGATTAAAATATGGTTATCTGGATATTTAAAGAGGTTGGCAAATTGTACTTGGGATTAGAGCAGTCCTACAAATCAAGGCCATAATGTCTAGATGGGACGCGTCTTGGTTTCTGCCATTAAAACGTCTATCACTTATGCATTCACACTTCCAACATTAGTGTATGGAAAACCTACTCTTCAGTTTCTCTCATGGGCATTAGAGATACCACAGCAAAAATGTGAGTCCCTGACTTCATGGTACGTACATATATTTATTAAATAGAACTGACCAGCCAGCTTTCCTTTCAAACGTAATCAGAGTAGAGAAATCTGACTGAAATGAGCATTTAATGTTGGCTGTACAATATTACAAGCTCAGAGGAGAGGGTGTGGCCCTCCGTGTGGCTCTACCTTTCCCTTTCTACTACAAAACCCATGGGCATTGCAAAAGGAATATGTGTGTGTGTGTGTGTGTGTGTGTGTGTGTACTGAGGCGAACTTTTAGTAGTCTGTTTTATGAAAACCCTGTTATGCTTCCCCATCATCACCGAATAACACTTCTCAAGCAGGAGTATAAAGGGTCAGGGTATATTCTAAAACATGTTTAAGACTCATCTAAAACAATTCCTATCCACTCAGTAAATTTAGTTCCAGTCAAAGGAAGCTCCCTTGGAACATCAGAGACAACTTTTGTTTAGTCAAGAACATAAGAGGGTGCCCAAAGTTGAAATTAGGCAGTGTGAGTTCAAGACTTCCTAATCTTTCAAATCCTAAATGATTTAGAGGATAAAAATGTCTTAAGGTATTGCACTGTAAATGAACAGAAAAGACAATACTACTACTCCTGGAGAATATATATCAATAAAGATATAAGGATGTCTTGGACATTACAAATTAAATGAAAACAAAAGTGTGATATCCAATATTGATTTATCAACAGTATCAATATCATTGCAATTATCACCTCATTCATGAAAAAACTAAGGCAGATGGACAAAAACTTGTCTAGGGTCACAGTGGAAGCAGAATAACTGAGGTTAAAAGCCAGATTTTCTGGTTGTTCTAGTCCTAGAATATAATATGAAATTTAAACCTTTAGACGGATTACCAGATCAACTGTGTCCATCACAAACTGTGACTTCTGCCAACAAATGAAGTCAAAACAACCCTGTGGGTCTAAGGATCTACAGTACATCGGAATGAGACATCCTGCAGTTAAAACGCCACACAAAAAAGTATTATATTTAAATTCCCCCAAGACTGTAGATAAGGGACAGACTCCTCCGAGGCCAACTGAACATGAACTTGGAAAATGCCAACTGATTTTTTCCAGGAGAACAAACAAACAAAAATATGTTTCTAATAATATTAATTAGAGTTAAACCTGAATACAAATTATTTTGTCTCAGTTTCTGGTGATTAACCAAGCTGAGTGCCAGGATGGTCTTACCAAGCATCATAATTGCTTTTAAGACAGCAAACACCGCTCCCACTTCAATGCTGTTGTGAGCAGCGGCTAAGAGGTGTCTATCACAGGACGATCTTATTCCGGGGAAAGGTTTGCCTATGAGGAAAACAACAAACCTTTAAGTCTCATCACCATCATTAACCATCTTCTGTAACCACTTACAGTCAGCAGAGCCTTTCATTGTCAGACTGTGGGCGCTTAATTGCTATTAGCTAGCTTCAATTGACGCTTCATGGATTCACTAAGAAACACTGACAGTATTCCTCACTTAACCTTTTCTTTTTAAATATTAAGACAATGGTGTTGCTCTTTAGAGAGATGTATCAAAAAAATTAGGAGGACTTTTATCCGCTTCTGCTGTCACACACACACACACACACACACACACACACACACACACACACCCCGCGCACGCAGAAATGATCTTTAGGAACAGAATGCAGTAACGCCCCTAGAATTCTTACCTTATTCCTTTCACCTTAGTAAAAGAATAAATGCATCACCATTGCCCTAAGCTGCTATGGTGTGTTTCATAAGCAACACACACAGTATGTTGGAGGATCATGCTGCCCACCAGCTTGGCTTGGCTGAGGAGAAGAGGTATTTTTATTGTTTATTAACTCTTGATGTGAGTTTCTCAATACATCCTGATACTACCTACATGAAAGGTGCTGACAGCCTTCTCAATGGCCATACCCCATGCCTCCATCGCCTCAAAGCAAGCCCACCAAAATCAGGGAGGAAACTACAGAATGGACAGCCTACTCGGTCAATTTAAGCATATGGCTTCCAAATGAAAAGCGTCATCGGAGATATTTCAGCTGTCAGCTCACCGGTTGCCTGAGGTAATAGGCAGGCCTGGGGAGCTCGGAAGAGATGAAGTAGGAGTCGGCATGTCATTCTCGCCCCAGGCTCCGCGTCTGCATCTCCACAAGCTAGGAGAGAGGGATTGTAAAAGCAAGTTTTCTAACATATTCAAGAACACGTCTTCCACATTCCTATTATGCTAAATTTTCTGGAATAATCTAAATAAATGCTCCTTACGGTAAAAAGTAAGACACTGTCTATGCTTTTCTGAGAAACCTGAATCCTTCCTTAAAAACAAGTACTGAAAGTGTCATTTCCAACCTCTTCCATTGGGATCTATGTGACTTTGTTTGGAATAACTGTCATAAATTCTACCATCTCTACCTTGATGCCATATCACTGCCCAATGCATGTTCCCTTAAATTCTACTTTTTCACTGCCTTTTAATAGTTAGAAACCACTGCACCAAGACAACAATGAAATAACCAACGCCGTTCTTGGATGCAGCCTTACCTGCGGCTAGGAGAGAGGGAAGAGCGACGTGCTGCACGACGTCCTCCAGGGAGAAACACTGTCGTGCTATCAGAATAGCAATGAAAGTAGCTAATGAATCATGGAATGAAAGGTCACTCACCTTCAAGAAAAACATTGACACGTTTTAATACCTAACACCCTTTTAAGTAACATCTAAGATTAATATCTAAGAGAATGTAGGCAATACGAATAAGATCTCAAATCCCAAAATGAACCGGTAGGAGTGGAATGATTCATAATTATTACCCTCTAGGCCTCCTTCTACTTTATAAGACAAAGAATCAGGTCTACCCACATGCCCAATGCTTTAAGAAGACACTAAGCTTTAGCTTGAGTACATGTAACTGAGAAACAAAACAATGAAACAGCAAAATCAAGAAATCCCTAAAAGATGCAGCATAAATAAGCCTTTTTAGCAGAATGCAGTATAATCTAGCGATGCAGGGTAAGACCAATAGGAAGCAACAGAAAACAAGGAGGTTCCCCTAATTGAAAAACAAGCCTTATTAATGTTTTAGCGTCCCTTTTGGGAATAACCAATAACAATTTTGTAATATAATTAAATCAGTTTTAAAAACAACTTTGAAAATTCTCACCCGACTCCTAAATTTAAAGAAGAAAGAGTGAAGGTGAGTGAGACAGAGAATGAAAGAGGAGAAAGGGGAGGAAAATTAATTCATTCAGGGTGGAAACCTCTACCCTTTACAGACCTCACAAGACTTTGACAGAAAATAATAAGAAAAACAGCTGTAACAGCAGCCTCCACATTAAGTTGTCCTATATGCCAGTGACTATGGTTAGAGATTTACAAAGATCACCTCATTTAAGGGCACCCCACTGTGAGGTTCATACTATTATTAATTCCAACTTTACAGATGAGGGAACAAGCAGAGGTAAAGTGAAACAAAAAACAACCGAGAGATTAAGGAACTATGTTAAAGATAAAAATTTGGGTCTTTTTCTGCCCGGAAGAGCAGGTCACAGATATGAGTTTCACATCTTAGGTGCCCACAGAATGGAGCAGGATTATCCACCTGGTCTTCAGATACCAGAACTAGGAAATAAACCTTCAACGGGGAGCCAGTTTTTAAAATGTATAAAGTTCTTCTATACATGAGATATACTAATAATGCAACACAAATTACTGCAAGAAGTGATGGAAGTGATAGGCAGAAATAAAGAATCCAGACGGATTTTTAAGAAATTCACACACCATGGATGCAATATGCTCTCTGAGGATATCTGTGATCCATAAAGGATATCTCTTCATAAGCTGCCAGACACTATCACTAAGAAAGACTGGACACCCCTCTGAATCTGAGCCTGGATGTCCTGATCCCACACAACAGAACCTATACTCTTAGATGTTTTCTTTTTCATTCTAAGAAAACAAACTGGTGGTCCTCAGAATGTAAACTGATTTAGTTAAATTACATCCTATGGCATGAGGAACCCAAGGCACTTGGTAAAAACTATGAACAAACCACTCTGAGGAGACCATACAGAAGAAATCTCAAGCTAACAACAAGGAAACTCTTGGCATCTCCACTCTAGATTAGGCTATCTATTTTATTTTGATTTTTTCCCCTTTATTTATTCTTGGCAACCACATTCTGGTTTATTGCTTTCAGGGAGAGAAAGAAAAAATAATTTACAACAGTTCAGTTAACAGTTGAGTCAACTAAAAAAAATTACTAGCTAAATATTTAATTGCACAGTTGAGTTTTTAAATGAAAAAGAAAACTTACATCTACAGTGCAAAGTACATCATTAAACCCCCAGACGTGGTTTGAAGAACAACAAAGAGCCTTCAGGACTCCCAGCCATTCTGAACTGAGAACAGTGCAGCAGGCCGTCAGCTCGGAGGAGAAATTGGCTATGTCATTAATCCTAGAAAGAGGAAAAAGAATATAGAAGAAAGCAACAAAAGAGAAATACTCACATATGATAAACTTAATGAACACATAATTTCAATATCATCAAACATGGTGTTCATTTCTTAGATTCAAGGATATAATAACAATCCACTTGTCAAATAACCTAGTAGAACCTGGAGCAGAAGGGAAAGGAAGTGTCTTCAAATGGTTTCTATTGGTTTGGCCAAAAAGTTCATTCAGTTAATGAATACATTGTTCAATGAAGTTCTGGGAGAAAATGAAAAATGTATCTTTTATCTTTACTTAAAACCGAACGAACTTTTCGAGCAAGCCAACATTTAATGCTGTTGAGCAACAAACAGTAACCAGTATAGATGTCAGTTAACGTATTTTTAGTTCTGTGAACAAATCTGACCTGTAAATTCACATTTGTAAGGGCATCAAAAAAATTAAAAGATCAGTCTAAATCCAGTGTTTTCAAAATCTGTCTTTTTCATTTGTATTTTTGTTATGTTTTTGAAAACATACCAGATAACTTACAGATTATACCTAGAGCATCTCACACCAGATCAATAAGCCAGGTTAAGAAAATCATGGAATAGAGCACAAGTAAACGCAGGAATAAAATAAGATTTAAAAACAAACAAACAAAAGCCAAATGTCTGCTTAGGCAATTATTAAAGCCCTTAATTTCAAAGGAGCAGCCAGGCAACAACTGTGTGGTTAATTGTGAATCCCAGCTCACCTTCCAGCGTCCTGATGGCCCATACATACATTCATGAGTGTGTTGCAGACGAAGCTGTAGCGATTGGCCGCATTGTCACTAAGGATCTTGCCCAGCATTGAGTAGTTGATGCTACGGGCTGAGGGATTCTCAATAAAATCCATCATGAAGTCTGGATCCCATCGCAAGTTAGAATTTGCAGGAATCACATTATTATATATGGTTTGCTTTACTTTTGAACAGGCACTACTGAGGTTACAAGAAGAAGAGTTAAAAGACAAAACAAAACTAAAATAACTAGAAAGGTATTTCATTTAAGGACAGATTAAATGGCAGCTGTAATGTATTCCTAGAGAAGGTTCGCCTTATGGGTTCTTGATTCCAGCTTCCTAATAATCGGCACCGGACACAGTGCTTGGAATGTGCTAGTTCAATAGTTACTGAATGGGTGGAAGAACAAAACAAGAATAAGACATCTGGGTACTAATCTTGATTATTTTCTAAGCCTTTTCTACATTTTACATGCTTCAAAAAAGAAAAGAATCTACTATGGCTTCCAACAACTGTCTCTGAGCAGTGGTTGGAAAGTGCTATTACTTAAGAATAATAAAAATGGACTGGATTACACATCAGGAACAACGTGGTGTTTTAGTCCTAACCATTCATCCTGTAAAGCGATTCCTCTCGGTACAAAGTATCCGGGGGGTTCATGGGCCATGGCTACTCTGGGCACCATGGTACAGCTGAGAAAGAGAGGCTCACTCCCTGCCTTCAAGGAGCTTAAATTCTAGTAGGGGGATATGGGGAATACATACATTCTATGAGAGTACAGAAACTATTACATTGTTCCTAAAAATTTATCACTGTACTTCTCAGCAGTATCTAGAGTTTTTTAAGAGCCTGGTCTACCACATTCAGAGTTACATCTGAAGAAAATGCAGAATATTATAAATTTATAAAGGGAATTAGAAAGCATCCCCTCTAATCCTGCTCTGCAGATGAGGCTGAAGGATGACCTGATTTCAAAGCTCAGATTCCATGTACACTTCGCTATTCTAGCCCAATTGCTGTGGATAACAAATCCATGAGCCACAATTCACCTTCTCTATTCAAGGGCTCTTTTAAGCAGCAGAGACTCTTTTCCTTTTAGATTAACTTTTGGCAGCAAATTTATTTGTGATCAAGGCGACACATGTCTTAGTCTTACGTGCCTACGTAAACAGTAGCCAGGGATGATTTCCTCAAAAATGAAAAGACATATAGACTCTTCACCCTAAGTTGTTAACATTGAGAACTGCTTTAAGAAAACTGAGATTGTTCAGTTCAGTGTTTACCAAAAAGTGACTTTAGACTTCCTCCTTCAGAATCACCTCTGGGGCATCTGTTAAAATTAAAAGACTCCTGGGCCTCACTGCAGGTGTACTGAATCTGTATGCTTAAAAAGCAGTCCCAGGGCTTCCCTGGTGGCGCAGTGGTTGAGAGTCCGCCTGCCGATGCAGGGGACACGGGTTCGTGTCCCCGGACCGGGGCCCGTGAGCCACGGCCGCTGAGCCTGCGCGTCCGGAGCCTGTGCTCCGCAACGGGAGAGGCCACAACAGTGAGAGTTCCGTGTACTGCTAAAAAAAAAAAAAAAAAAAAGCAGTCCCAGGTAAAACTAAGTACCAAATATGCGTGGGAAGCACTGGGCCAAGAGAGAGGACTAAAGCCACCCACTAAGTGCAGCAAGTACAATATTCTACACCCTTTTTCTTCGCCTACAACTTATATAAAAACTTGTCAGGGGTTGCTGAAGGATACAAGTTTGTAATCTGAAGTCATGACCTATTCAAAATGACAGAATTATACAGTCCCCAGTGTTTTTAAGAATCTCTCTTTTCCCTGTCTTAACCCTGCCAGGCTGCATATATTCTCACTCAGCAATAGTTCTTAATTTGTTTCATTTTCCCATTAAAAATGAAACAAAAACAAATTTTGCTCTCTGCCGGTTCCCTCCCTAATACCACGTCCCTGGTTTCCTCTACCACCCAATACTCGGAGTCTTTAAGGAAACAGAGTTCTGCAAATAGCAAAGCAGCATCTCTTTTTATTCAACTTTCCATTTAATTCTAACAATCTACCCCTGTCTGTCTTTACGAACCAAAAGAATCCTGCTTTTCCTTCCTAATTTTTATAAGAGTCAGCCTCACTTTTCGATTAGTATAGAGACTTCTCTCAAGTTGATGCCCTCCTACCTCCTCTGGCAGTTTTTCCGAACTCTGTGGTTCATGGTGAAGTCTCGTGTCCCTTCATTTCTAGGCTTCATATTTCATTTATTACACTCTTT